TTGTTTGCCTATATTCATCCTTTGTAATCTGTCCTAGTTTCCATTTTTTATATGACTCCTTTTTATTTTTTAGATCATGCAAGATCTCGTGGTTAAGCCAAGGTGGTCTTTTGCCACATTTTCTATCTTTCCTAACCAGCGGAATAGCTTGCTTTTGGGCCCTTAATAGTGTCCCTTTGAAAAACTGCCAACTCTCCTCAGTTGTTTTTCCCCTCAGTCTTGATTCCCATGGGACCTTATCTATCAGCTCTCTGAGCTTACCAAAATCCGCCTTCCTGAAATCCATTGTCTCTATTTTGCTGTTCTCCCTTCTACCCTTCCTTAGAATTGCAAACTCTATGATTTCATGATCACTTTCACCCAAGCTGCCTTCTACTTTCAAATTCTCAACGAGTTCCTCCCTATTTGTTAAAATCAAGTCTAGAACAGCTTCCCCCCTAGTAGCTTTTTCAACCTTCTGAAATAAAAAGTTGTCTGCAATGCAGTCCAAGAATTTGTTGGATAGTCTGTGCCCCACTGTATTATTTTCCCAACATATATTTGGATAGTTGAAGTCCCCCATCACCACCAAATCTTGGGCTTTGGATGATTTTGTTAGTTGTTTAAAAAAAGCCTCATCCACCTCTTCTACCTGGTTAGGTGGCCTGTAGTAGATTCCTAGCATGACATCACCCTTGTTTTTTACCCCTTTTAGCCTAACCCAGAGACTCTCAACACTTCCGTCTCCTATGTCCATCTCCACCTCAGTCCAAGTGTGTAAATTTTTAATATATAAAGGCAACACCTCCTCCCTTTTTCCCCATCTATCCTTCCTGAGCAAGCTGTACCCATCCACACCAACATTCCAATCATGTGTATTATCCCACCAAGTTTCAGTGATGCCAACAATGTCATAGTTGTATTTATTTATTAGCACTTCCAGTTCTTCCTGCTTATTACCCATACTTCTCGCATTTGTATATAGGCATCTAAGATACTGGTTTGATCTTGCCTCCCAGTTTTGTCCTGACCCTCCTTTCTCTCTGCCAGTATAGCCCACACTCCCTCTTGTTTCCGACCCATCTCCCAGGTCTCCATGTTCCCTACTTACCTGTGGGCTTTGCTCACCTGTCCCCGTCAAACCTAGTTTGAAGCCCTCCTCACTAGGTTAGCCAGTCTGTGTCCAAATAGAGTCTTTCCCCTCCTCGAAAGGTGAACGCCATCTCTGCCTAGCAGTCCTTCTTCGAATAGCATCCCGTGGTCGAGGAAGCCAAAGCCCTCCTGGCGACACCATCTTTGCAGCCAGGCATTCACCTCCATGATGCATCTGTCTCTGCCCGGACTCCTACCTTTGACAGGAAGAATCGAAGAGAATACCACCTGCGCTCCAAACTCCTTCACCCGTACTCCCAGAGTCCTGTAGTCACTCTTGATCCGCTCAATGTCACACTGCGCAGTATCATTTGTGCCCACATGGATGAGTAGCATGGGGTAGTAGTCAGAGGGCTGGATAATCCTCAACAATGCCTCCGTAACATTTCGGATACGGGCTCCCGGCAGGCAGCATACCTCCCGAGATGAAATGTCAGGGCGACAGATGGGCGCCTCCGTCCCCCTCAGCAGAAAGTTTCCGACCACCACTACCCTACGTTTCCTATTCGCAGTGGAAACGTAGGGTACTACATTACCATGTTGGAAGGTTTTCAGAAATGAGGGGTCAGTTCAATACTGTTTAACTTCATTTTACTTTTTTCTGGACCAAATTCTACCTCTTTTTGTGTTATGGGTAAAATCTATGTCCCTAAAAAACAAAAACAAAAAAAAAAAAAACTAAGAAAAAAAAAGTTAAACAGTATAAACAACAAAAAAAACAAAGAAAAAAAAAAAAAAAACTAGAGATGCACTACTGTTAACAGATGCCCAATTCTGCTGTTTTTTCCCTGAGTTTGTGGAACTAAACCCTAATACAAAATCATTAGCCATTTAGCTCAGGTGAGTCCTAGTGTAACATAAAATGGTGTAAACTAGGGGGGACAAGCACTTTGTAGCTTGGGAAGGCTGAGCTTTTTGCACACACCAGGGGTCTTTGCATCTCTCCATATCCCTCCCACAAGCTTCTCCTATGCCATCCCCTCATCCACCTCTATTTCAGGGATTCCCTGCAAGTCCCCCAGTCTCTTCCCTGCCAGTGGTTCTGTGTGCCCCCCACTTACCTAACCCAGAGTCCCCCATCCCCCACATGCCAATGGCTTTGTGTGCACTCCCATTCCCACTTTCTTTCATGACTTCCATTCTCTAGGTTTCTGAATCCCCCCACCAGGAATTGTATGTGCCTCGTCATTACCACATTCAAGGGTTCTCACATTCTAGCCTCATGGAGGGTCTCTGTGTTTGCCCCTATTTCCCTCTTTCCCTCCATATTCCCCAATCCCTCCTCTATACCAGGGTACACCAATTTCCCTCTTTCACAGGGGTTGTGTTTGCCCCATACCCTTCTCCCCCATTCCCACCTTTCTCCCCAGGCCAGGGGCTCTGTGTGGCCTCCCTTCTCCCATTCTAAGGTCCCCCATTCTCCCCACCCCACCATGACAGGAGTTCTCTGTGTCCCTCATTTCACCTGGACCCAGGACAGAAATGTCAGGATTCAATAAGCATGGAAAGGGTCTTCCAATTTCCCTGCCACTGGGGGTTTTGTGCCCCCATTCCTCCTCCATGTTCCCTATCCTCCGCCATGGCAGGGTCTCTGTGTGAATCTGTATTGCCCCCTCCTCCCCATTTCCCACTGTCCCCCGGATGTCAGGGGCTCTGTCAGTCCCCTATTTTCTGATTGCCACCTTCTCTCTTATGCTAGGGGTTCTTTGCCCCTCTTGGCCACTGACCCCATACCAGGATTACCCCAGTCTTTCCCATGCCAGGTGCTGTGTGCATGACCCCCTTTTACTTTATGCCCCCAAATCTGTCCCTCCATTATTCTTTCTGTCTGGGAGTTAAATCAGTCAGATGTCAACATGTTGAACTCCACTTGGAGGATAAGCAGGGGTATTGTTCTGTAGTGCTTAGGGTGACCAGACAGCAAGTGTGAAAAATCAGGATGGGGGTGGCGGGTAATAGGAGCCTATATAAGAAAAAGACCCCAAAATTGGGACTGTCCCTATACAATCGGGACATCTGGTCACCCTAGTAGTGCTGAAAAGAGTTAATTGGTGCCATAAACCTGTTGTTTGATCCATAGAAAATTGCAGAGGTACTTGAAGCTTTGGTTGTGCTAATAATGTAGTGGGGGCTCCATTTGTCCTCCACTTTCCCTCTCTTCCCCCCCCCCCGATTTCCCTGCAAATCAATAGGATTCTGGCCATTAATACCTAGAACATTCCTGGAAATTCTGGAATTGATTGGATGCAGCATTCAAAAGTTATCATATTACATACATGTATAAATGCAAACATGGAAAAGCCATCAATTTGAGTGTAAGGCCTTCACAAGCTTGGCCAATTACCTGAGAAACATATAATTTCTGTGTGCTGTTTACACTTCAGTTAAATCTTGGTTACAAAGGTATCTTTGGTAGCTACCAAATCATTTGAAAAGCCAAGTAAAGGGCCTGGACCCAGATTTTTAAAAGTATTTAGGCTTTGCTTTGCTCAGTGTTGCAATGCCTAACTGATTTAAGAGCCTAATCTAAGGCCTGGTCCACACTAACCCCCCACTTCGGACTAAGGTACGCAAATTCAGCTACGTTAATAACGTAGCTGAATTCGAAGTACCTTAGTCCGAACTTACCGCGGGTCCAGACGCGGCAGGCAGGCTCCCCCGTCGATGCCGCGTACTCCTCTCGCTGATCTGGAGTACCGGCGTCGATGGCGAGCACTTCCGGGATCGATCCCAGAAGATCGATTGCCTGCCGCCGAACCAGGAAGTAAGTGTAGACGTACCCAAACTTTCCAAAGGGGAACAATGGGAAGCAATACCTAAATACCTTTAAAAATCTGGGTCTTATAGTTCAAGTCAGTAGCTGTAAAATAGTCCTACAATACTGATATAGTAATATAGTGTATCAAATATTATATTCATGTGAAAATCTTTGTATTAAAATTCTAGGTGACACTGCTGGTTCTTGTGGGGATCCAGGAATCCCAGGTCATGGTTCTAGAGAAGACAGTGATTTTAAAATTAAAAGTACTGTACGTTTCAACTGTGAGATTGGTTATATCCTTCATGGGTCAGAAGAAAGAACATGTTTGGGAAATGGAACCTGGACAGGAAGACAGCCAGAGTGTAAAGGTAAATCACAAAAGGAAAATACATTTTATGTATATATCTTTAAAATGAAAGTAATGTCAATGAAAGGTGCCAGAGTGAAATCCCTGGACGTTAAACTGCTTGATTTAGCCACAGGACAGACAGAGTACAGGCAGTGGAAGAGTAGTCTTCTCCGTATCTGCTTACAAGTGTACCTGTATTACCTCCATTTTGCCCTGGAAAGACAACATCTAGCACTGAGACAATGGCTCACTTTCCATGCTTGTTGAATCATGCCATTTCTGCTGTAAGTGCTGACCAGAATGCCAATTGTATATCATAGTTCTTGTGATGCTGATACTTGTCCATTGGGTACTAGCTTGAGACCACAAATCTTTTCACACAGAGACTGAAACAGCTATAAGATAGTAATGGCTTTTGGTCGCCTGAGTACAGTTCAAATCAGTAACTAGAGATGATAAATTCTTAGCCTTTGAGACAACCATTACTTTCTCTCTCCCCTACTCCTTCCACCAGTTTGTACCAACTACATATTTTTTTCCTAGGAGGAAAAAATAGGTAAGCACTGTAGACCTCACTTTTTTAATATTGTTTTTTCCTTTGACAAATGCTTTCCTGGTTGCTTCATCCTTAGTTACAGCTATTGTAGATATGAATACCAGTGGAAGGAGAAATTCAATTATTTGTAGAATTTCATTATACTACATATAATATGTCATAAATGATTAAACTATACATTTTGTTTACTGATTAATATATCTTGCTCACTATTAGAAAATGAAAAACCCAAACTAAGTTACTTAAAATGAATCACTCTAGAATTGTGAAGCAAGATGTATTACCATAAAAACAAGACCTAACCAGATATTTATTGAGAATCATTTATGGTACTTCAGTAATCTTGATTCCACAAATAAGAAGTAATTCCCAACAGACCCTTTTTGAGAAAAAAAGCTTCCTGAATAGCAGAGGAAAATTTAAGAGCCTCTTTTCTCTTATTATCCACTTTATTATTATGGATTGCTCTGTCTTTAAGAGATAGTCATTTCATTTTGAAGGAGACAGCTTAATTAACATTGTCCGGCTATACCCAAAGAAGGACAGGACACACTTGGTATGGATTTAATCAGGTCACAACTTTATTATTAGATGTTTGGGACTACCTGGCAGATAACAGTGTACAATGCAGGTAACCTCCTGTTTATTCCATAATTACCTGGGGGCTTCCACCAGCTCCCCCTCTTTTTCCATCCAGGTCCTTACTATCCAGCCCCCTCAGAGGAGGGATAAGGTGGGCTATAAGAAAGAGGTATTGGCTCCCTGCCGTTCCAACCATAGGTGCTACAAACCCCTTACCAGTCCTTTAACCAGCACCTCCTTTTTAAGTCATTTACCAGGCCATTTATCTAGTCACTGTATGCCTTCCATATGGCGTACCTGCACTGGATATCCACCACAAGGAGGTACCAGTAATTAGCTGGGCTGCCTCCCCCACAAACCCAGTCAGGTTCCTAGACATCTTCCAATTGCCTCTTGTATAGCAGCCAAACAACATGTCACGCCCCCAAGTCTGTTAGGTGAACCCCCATCCTTCCAAATGAACTCGGTTGCCCCTTGCACCATGCAAGGATCATCGAGGACTCCTGCAAATGGGTTGCCAATGCCATGTACTGCAACACCCGCCCCTTCTTGATGAGCCATATCGTTGACCAGCATTCCGGGTCCTGAAAATGGAAGAACTCTTAACTCTCTTCATAGCTCAGCCATGAGCCCGGAGCCAAGGATCTTCATGCTACCACCATGAACCCCATATGCCACGGCTTCATAGCGCCAGTGGCATCTACTCAAGTTCATCTACCTCCTGGTGCAAGCCCCCTGCTGCGTGGAGAAAGGGGTTTCCAACACCAGGGCTTTCACCTTTAAAGCCTTCTACCCATCACCAACCTTTTTGCAGCATTTTCTGACCTTGTTCCCTCTCCCACCCCACCATAAAGCACTGCTGCCTTCCTCCGGCAAGCCTGGACAACGCCAGCCTTAGGTGCAGTGTGGTCAAACCCACTTTTAATATTCTTCTTGATGAACAGATGCAACTCTGATACAAAGTAATAAATAAATAAATACATATCTGATAAGCTGTAGGGGGACATGATCACCCAAACTGAGCTTTCTTCCTTCTCTACTATCAAACTGGATTGCCATCATATTATTTTACATTTCAAGATATCTAAGATGCTTCATTATTCATTTAACTTAGAAATCCTCTTGGAGGTATGTATACGGAATAAAGACTGCTGTTGTCTTAGTTTTGTTTGTTTATATTATATTATATTATATTATATTATATTATATTATATTATATTATATTATATTTATTAAAGAATGATATTTAGGTGAAAAGCCATGCACTGGAAAGTTAGGAAATTCTAGATTTATAGTTGCTTGTGCAATGTTAATTCTTCCTTTTTAGCCTCCATCCTGTGCATTGAACGAGGCACAGTCCTGTGGGGAAAAAAATTAGTTTGTGATCATGTAATTAAAGATGGTATCATAATGCATACTCACAAGTGGACCAAATTGAGGTTGTAGGGGTAACCGTAAATCTGGCATTTTTTAGCTTTCCTGTGCTTGATTTTGCAACCTAAATAACTTTCTTTTACCATAGGCTTTTTAAGTGTAATTTCCTAGGTATTATTCTCCAAGTGAAAAGATAAAAATAAATTTTGGTATATATAAATGTAATAAACCATCCCCATCACACATTGTTCACAGGATTTGAAAGCTAAATCTTCAGCTTTAACGAAGACTCCTATCTCTTAAACATGCTGGCAGCAGGAGCATTATTTTTACTGGTAATTTAACATTGTAACATCTTATACATTTAACATTTTATTTTATAGCTGTGCAATGTGGTAATCCAGGAACAACCGCTAATGGGAAAGTATTTCGTATAGATGGCACGACATTTTCTAATTCGGTAATTTATTCCTGTATGGAAGGATACATACTTTCTGGATCTTCTGTGAGACAATGTACTGCCAATGGAACATGGTCTGGATCCTTGCCAAACTGCACAAGTAAGATTAATCTTCAGTGAATAGTCTTCATGTTTAACCATAACTATGGCCTGTTAGATATTGCTTTAGTGTTTTTAATTAAATTCTTCATTCTTGTAAATACAATAATATAGAATTTAGGTATTAACTGCCAGCTTTACTTTCCCTCACAACACTTCAGAAACTCTTGGTAATTTACATAACAAAGTACATTCAACCATGAAAATATTATGTAAGTGTAATATGAAGAATAAAATATTTGAAGAAAGATGAGTTAAAACATACTGACTAGTATTACATTGTAAGGCAATTGTATATTCACATATTCTGCCCACTTAAACTTTCCTCTAATGGTAAAAAGGTATTTTCTTGTTTCATATTTTGTGGTGTTAGTGTTCGTTTTTGTGTGTGTTTTGTGTGATGCATCTGCTCATGTGATAATGTGCTGGTCACTTGCTGAGCATGTTTTCTTTGTGAAACAGGAATAAAATACAATTGCTACTTGCTTTGCCATGAAAAAACTAATTTTCATTTACAAATGTATAAGACTTTTTTATTCGTCTCTATATGGTTCATCGTTTTTACAAAAGAAAAAAGCAAGCTGTGGAATAGTGTTTCTTTCTTATTACTTTATAATTGTTTTAGCTGCCATTTTGTTTATTATTTATAAGTATTCTAAGAGGTTGCATAATATGTTTGTGGTGTGCATTTCAATCTTTTGTTTGACATTTGAAATCTTCTGTAACTTCTTACACTATATTTCCTGCTCAGTGATTGCAATCTATAACTTTTCAAGTGTTTCTGTTGTAGTGTTCAAGTGTGATTGCCTGACCTTTGAAGATTATACATACAGTACTTGTGACATCAATTTATTTTAATGATGTTATCAATGGGTATCTACAATGTATTAACTGACCACAGTTTCAGAAAAGAAACTGCAGCAGTTGACAGTTTTTGCAAGACAATATATGAGTTCATGAAAAACCTGTTGGCTTTCCCTGAATTTGTGGCATATTGTTTTAGTATTATAGGTTCAGATAACAAAACCAAGCATTCTTCAGATTGTTTGATTTAACCTCACTCCACACTGGCCTGTGCTTGTCCTTTTAGAACATTAGAACGGCCATACTGGGTCAGACCAAAGGTCAATCTAGCCCAGTATCCTGTCTTCCGACAGTGGCCAATGTGAGGTGCCCCAAAGGGAATGAATGGAATGGGTAATCATCAAGTGATCCATCCCATTGCCCATTCCCATCTTCTGGCAAACAGAGGCTAGGGACACCATCCCTGTCCATACTGGCTAGTAGCCATTGATGGACCTATCCTCCATGAACTTATCTAGTTCTTTTTTGAATCCTGTTATAGTCTTGGCCTTCACGAACATCCTCTGGCAAGGAGTTCCACAGGTTGACTGTGAGATGTGTGAAAAAATACTTCCTTTTGTTTGTTTTAAATCTGCTGCCTATTAAGCACTTTTCAGCACTTTTCCATTCTCTCTCTCTCTCTCTCTCTCTCTCTCTCTCTCTCGATGAGAGAGAGAGACAGATTCACAGAATCCTCTCCTTGGAAGTCATGAATGATAGGCTAATCTCACCAATAAGACCTCAAAGGAACTGAAACTGATTTTTGGCACCTATTTGTAAGTGCTAGAACTACATTACAGCTCCATTCTTCCTGCCTCTGTGATCCATGAGAGGACTTTCAGTCTTATCCCATGACTTCTTACTTTGCTAAAGAGCCTTTGGTGAGGGATCTTGACAAAGGCTTTCTGAAAAACCAAGTACACTATATCCACTTGATCATCCTTGTGCATGTTTGTTGACCCCCTCAAAGAATAATAATAGATTGGTGAGGCATGATTTCCCTTTACAAAAGACGTGTTGACTCTTCACCAACAAATCTTGTTCATCTATATGTCTGATAATTCTGTTTTTTACTATAGTTTCAACCAATTTGCCTGGTGCTGAAGTTAGACTTACTAGCCTGTAATTGCCAGAATCACCCCTGGAACCTTTATTTTTTATTTTTTTTTAACTGGTGTCACATTAAAAAAATTAAAAAAAAAAACTGGTGTCACCTCCAGTCATCTGGTACAGAAGCTGATTTAAATGATAGGTTACATACCACAGTTAGTAGTTTTGCAGTTTCACATTTGAGTTTCTTCAGAATTATTGAGTGAATCTGGTTATGGTGACTTATTACTGTTTAATTTCTCAGTTTGTTCACAGTTCCCCAGATTTGTCAGCTAAAAAGAATGGCTCAGCTGTGGGAATCTCCCTCACATCCTCTGCAGTGAAGACCAATGCAAAGATTTCATTTAGCCTCTCCTTCCATGAATTCTCCCTCGATCTTCCAGTGACCCCACTGATTGTTGGGCAGACTTCCTGCTTCTGATGTAGGGATTTTTGTTTTGTTTTTGTTTTTTTCCTGTTAGCTTTTTGAGTCTTTGGCTAGTTGCTCTTCAAATTCCTTTTTTGACTGCCAAATTATACTGTTATGCTTGACTTGCCCGAGTTTATACTCCTTTATATTTTCCTCAGTAGGATTTAGCTTCCCATATTTAAAGGATGTCTTTTTGCCTCTAACCACTTCTTTTACATTGTTCTCTAGCCATGATGGCACTTTTTTGGTCCTCTTACTATTTTTGTATTAATTTAGGGTATATATTTAATTTGAGCCTCTAGTACAGTGTTTTAAAAAAGTTTCCATGCAGCTTGCATGCATTTCACTTTTGTGACTGTACCTTTTAATTTCCATTTTACTTGCATCATCATTTTTGGATAGTTTCCCTTTCTGAAGTTAAATGCTACTGTGGTTGACTTATTTGGTGTTTCTTTCCTCCCACCCCCCAAGTATATTAATTTAATTATATTACAGTCACTACTCCCAAGTGGTTCAGCTATATTCACCTCTTGGACCAGATCTTGTGCTCCATTTAGGACTAAACCAATTATTGCCTCTCCCTTTGTTGGTTCCAGGACTAGCTTCTCCAAGAAGCAATCATTTGTAGTGTCAAGAAACTTTCTCTCTGCATCCTATCCTGAGATGACATGTACCCAGTTAATATGGGGATAATTGAACTCCCCCATGATTAATACATTTTCTATATTTATGCTCTAATCTCCTGGAGCATTTCACAATCACCATCCTGGTCAGGTGGTCGGTAGTATATTCCTAATGCTATATTCTTATTATTCTAGCATGGAAGTTCTATCCGTAGATATTTTATGGTACAGTTTGATTCATTTAAGATTTTTTACAACATGACCTACTCTTTTATTCCTGTATATTTTGTATCCTGGTATTACCGTGTCCCATTGATTATCATCATTCCACCAAGTTTCTGTGATGCCTATTATATTAATATCCTCATTTAATACCAAGCACTCAAGTTCATCCTTCTTAGTATTTAGACTTCTAGAATTTGTATGCAAGCACTTATAAAATTTCTCACTTTTTAGTTGCCTGCCATTATGTGATTAATTGCCTGGGATTCTTTCATTTGGCTGTTTCTCTTCAGTTCTTACCTGTACTTCATGACCTTCTATCCTCTCCTCCTTACTAGGATATAGAAAATCCCTGTTTGTAGATCATCCCATAAGGGATGTCTGTGTCTGAACCATGTGCCCTTCTGTACCTGTTGGCTTTCCCCCAGCCCTTAGTTTAAAAACTCCTCTACAACCTTTTTAATATTACATGCCAGCAGTCCGGTTCCATTTTGATTTAGGTGGAGCCTATCCTTCCTGTATAGGCTCCTCCTTTCCCAAAAGGTTTCCTAGTTCCTAATAAACCTAAACCCCTCCTCCCTACACAGTCATCTCATCCATGCATTGAGACCCTCCAGTTCTACCTGTCTAACTGGCACTGCACGGGGAGCTGTGATCATTTCAGAGAATGCTACCATGGAGTTTCTGGACTTCAATTTCTAGTAGCCTATATTTGACTTCCAGGACCTCTCTCCCATCTTTCCCTATGCCATTGGTATCTGTATGTATCACAACCACCAACTTCTCCCCAGCACTACACATACACGTGTCTAGATGTCTCGAGAGATCCACAACCTTCGCACCCAGCACGGAATTCACCATGTGGTTCTCTTAGTCATCACAAACACAGCTCTCTATATTTCTAATGATCAAATCCCCCATTACTATTACCTGTCTTTTCCTAAGAAATGGGGTTCCCTCCCATGGAGAGGTATTCTCAGTGCGAGAGGATACCATGACATCATCTGGAAGGACAGTCCCAAATATGGGATTGTTTCCCTCCGCTCCAGTTTGATGTTCTTCTTCCCCAAAACTTTCATCCTCCTCAACAGCACAGAGACTATCAGACTGCTCTGCTGTGCCCATCTTCCCACCAACTGTTTCTTTATGTTCTTCCCTTCCTGTTCCTTAATTAGGAGCTGGTGGGGGAGTGTTTGATTTCTGGGTGGTTGTTTTTAAGACATATCTGTTATTTGTAAGGATGATTGTGTCCTGGTTTTATTTTCTGTGAAAGAAATACATCACAAGCTGGTCCTATTCTTTCAGCCTCTATTTCCTCCTTGTCAATGGTAAATTGGCATTCTCATTAAGTGTTTACTTTCAAAGTTCTGGATCAGGGAAACTTTTTTTCTGATTTTCATGGAACAGGAGGATGGATACTCTTCCTCAGTCTGTTGCAGGTCCCTTATTGCCAGAGGTTAAACTTTTGGTTTTTTTCCCCTCCTCATTGCAGTCATTCCCTTCTTAATTTGAGAAATGTCTGTATAATCGTTAAGGAGATCCAGATGAGTGACTTTCACACTGTGTGGACCTTGGCGAAACAATCTGCTTTTCCTCATCTACCTACTCCTTTTTAGTGTCTTTGATTTCTAACTGCCATTTTCTAATCCTGACATTTAAGTTATTAACATAATCCATTTTTTGCACTTTTGAACAGGTGTACTAATTTTTCCCTAATATGTAGCTGGTGTATGTATCTACATATTGTGTTAGGTAGAGAATTAAGTGATATATATGTTTACCTAATGTAGCTGGAGATAAACTTTTGCTATATTTTTGGCAATAAATCATTAATTTGACAGTGCTTTTTTCTCCTCACAGATACATAGTCACATTAATGATTTACCATGTTCTTCAACTCCTTACTTTCAGTAATCAGTTGTGGAGACCCAGGTGTACCAGCCAATGGCTTGAGATATGGTGATGATTATGTTGTTGGACAAAATGTTACCTACATGTGCCAACCCGGTTATACAATGGAATTGAACAGCTCCATAATTCGCACCTGTACCACCAACGGCACATGGAGTGGAACAATCCCAACTTGTAAAGGTATCACAATGATTTGGGGTATCAGAACATTCTTTTCGTGACATTTGTACCTATTTTGTACTGTAACATGTTAGTCAGACTAAGTAAACATTCATCATTATAACTGAAGACTAAACATGTCTGGACATGTTAATATTTACTTTGTCTATATGGTCAATTGAGTTGGGGGTTTTAAAAATTGTTGTCTTACCATTTGTGTCTTTTATTTTGTTCCATAAATTTAAAGTGTTAGCAGTGTTGTGTTGGAGATCTTACTGGGGCTCTCAGGAGCCTCTTACTAAGTTTCTGCTTAAGAGACAGTTCAGGTGACTTCCCTGCTTTAATGGAGTTTGCCTTTTTTTCTGCATAATGTTAATCTACCAGAGATGATACATTTCAGCAGTATCTTTTGTGAACCTACGTGGTATTGGACTTTCTAATTGTCTAGAATCCAGTAAATGATTTTTTCCATGGCTGGATAGCACTGGACTATCTTGTCCTTCCTACCAGGATCTTTGGCCAATTCTTTCCTTGCTTAGGGTGCAGAAATTCAACACTCTACAGTAGTATTAATATACTCAGCATGTTTTTCAGCAGCAAAGTCTAAATATTTCCAGCAGATGCCCTAATGTACATTTGTTTGGCATCTGATGTTGCCTCCTTCCTATGGGACTTGGAAAAACAAAAGAATAAATCCCGTGATCCTTCACACTTCCTCTCTGCTAGCACATGCATTCTTGATTTACAGGTATTACAGGGAAGTTCTTGGTGTAGCCTGTGGTTAAAAAAATTGGCAGCTTATAACTGAATTTTATTGTAATATACCATCAAAAAACTATTCTACTGATGTAATCAAAACTGCTATCGTCAAAGTAACCTACAACCTCTTCCTTGCTAAATTTAAGGGCATCTTCTCAGGCTCATTCTCTTTGATATTTCTGTTACCTTTGACATAGTGAGTCTCCCCCTCCATCTTAAGATCCTTTCGTCCATAGCCTTGTGGGACTCTTCCTTCTTCTCCTACCTAGCCAATTACGCCTGCAACCAGGTGTTGGCAAGTGGTTCTTTTTCCTTCCAACTTTTCTAGAGTTAACTCATAGGAATATTTGATAAATCTTCCCCTTTCTCTGTCTATGCTTCCCCCTGGATGGGCTCATTCTCTCTCATGTCTTCAAACTGAAAACTCTCAGATCTGTATCTCCATCCCTATTCTCTTCTTCTTCTTCCATGTATGCCTTACCGAGCCTTGACACCTGCTCCCAGCTATGCCAGTGTTTTAGGGTGGGTTTTTTTTTCAGTTCTGCTCCCAATGCTTTGAATGCAGTTCATTCTCAAGTGCTCCAAATTTTTTGCTGTTCAAGAAAATGCTCTTCTTCTGTTTACTTTTCATTACTAACCATCATCAAATACTACTGTTTTTGCATACAAAACTGATTACACAAGGATTTATATCTCTCTCCCCACATGTCTGCTGATAGGATTTCTGTACTGCCTATTACCATAGTTCCTAGCAGGGCCGGCTCCAGGGTTTTGGCCACCTCAAGCAGCCAAACAAAAAAAAAAACAACAACAACAAAAAGCTGCGATCGCGATCTTTGGCGGCAATTCGGCGGAAGGTCCTTTGCTCTGAGCAGGAGTGAGGGACCATCTGCCGAATTGCTGCTGAACAGCTGGACGTGCTGCCCCTCTCCGAAGTGGCCGCCCCAAGCACCTGCTTGGTAAGCTGGTGCCTGGAGCCGGCCCTGGTTCCCAGGCACTGTAATCAGAATTATTATGTATTAAATCTGAGGTGTATGTATCAATAATTCTGTTTCTTTAAATGAAAGTTGTCCTATCAATCTGCTAAGGAACACAATAGTCAGGCAATGCAAGATGGATTCTCTTACATATTCTGCTTTTTTGTTGCCTCTCTTCCCTTTTTCCATCAAATGTTATGTTTATTTTAGAGTAAGGTCCAGTCTTGGGCTCCCTTGGGCCTGCTGGAGAGGTCTGAGTTGGGGGGTTTCAATTTTGGCTGGAGCCCAAGGAGAAATTCTGTCTGGGGCAGAATCAGAGGCATCAGTCAGAACCTCACTTTTACTCTGTGTTTGGCCAGTTCTGTTACTGACCATCAGAGGGAAGCCAGGTCCCTGATCCTGTCTTTCACTTTGCTCTACCTTATTTGGGGTGCTGTTACCCAAAGGAGATTAACTGAGAGTAGGGGGTATACACCAGAGTATGAAGGGAAAAGTTCAACTTTCAGATGAGGGACAGAGATTGTAAGCTCTTTGGGGAAGGTACACTCTTCTTTTCTGTCAGTCAATCACTATACATATGTATTCACTGTACAAATATTAAATAATAATCATATGTGAAATCTCTGATGCTGTCAGAAATTTCCTATTTTATTCCATGCAAATTTCTTTGCAATGACAAAAGTAATATTCACTTTTAAACTAATATTATTGTTTATTTTGAATATGTAATCAAAAGGAATGTATCATATATAATAATGTATTTGGACTATATAATAGCTATTTGTTACTGTTAGGAGGATTTGGTACAATTTAGATACAATAAGTGGACAATGAACTGCTCAGAGTATGCAAACATTATTTTCCAGCTGCCACTGAAATACTAGATATATATGATTCTCCCTCATTTGTCTCCGCAAGAGAAGGATGTGTGTGTTCATTCACAAGTAAATGTCAGTCAGGCATTGTACTTTTCAGCAAAACTGTCTTAAATCCACTTTGTTTTTGTAATACCAATTTCAGCTGAAACTCCAAGCAGAATCCACTGCAGATATACATTATTAATGGTTCAATCTCAGCTGTTATTGTTGATAGAACCTTGACAAGGCAGTGTTCACTTTTATTCATTTATTCCTTCATTTTGAGGCTATGGTCATTTACTTATTCTTTCCTGACCCTGCTTCCCCTATATTGCCAACAGACATTCTGCAGCCCATTGTCTGCCTCAACTCCTCCTGTCCGCGGTTTCTGGAGGTAGTTCAAAGCTGAAGCACAGCCAGTGCTAACCGTACCCCCTTCTCCTGTTTGCTGTGAGATGTTCTGCCTCCGTGGCAGCAAATAAATGGTGGTTCACTCACTCCCATCCTTTTCTTTTAGAGTTGTTATTTTTAGCCATTTTGGGGGCAGTTAAAGCATTTTCATTTGCTTTCAAGTCTCCTCACCTCCTCCTGGTCTGGGATCTGAGCAGCACAGTGGTCACAGCCACCCAGAGCATCCACTGCAGCATCTCCCTGCTGACCTCCTCCGCCCCATTCCAGTCATAGCAGAACAGCTGTGCAAGCAATGGACAAAATCCAAACAGTGCTCTGAATATGAAGCACCTTTCTCAAGCCAAGCAGAAAGTAAAAAATGCCCAGTCTGCCCCCAACCACCCACCCCTATCTCTGTTAGGACATGGGGCTCTGAGCGGACAGGCATATTGGTGCCTTCCCACCAGTTATCCTTGATTCCACCAAAGAAAAACCCCACTAGGAGAGCGAGAGCAGAACCAGGAGGGAGGCTTGGAGGACAAAGAGACCTTCCTCCAGCTGACCCAGAAGGTAAGTCCTGAGGCATAAAGAAGCATAAAGATGAGACCGTTTCTGGGCTATTGGTTCCCTCTCCCCCTGCCCCCAGTGGAAAGAAGCAGGGCACCTACACAGCTCTTCTTCTGCACACAGTGAACCAGAGGATTCTTGTGATCATCTGGGTTAAGTTCTGCAAAACCCAAAGACTCTGGAACCCCAAAAAGCAAAAGCAAGTGTTTCCTTCTTAAGGCAGCAGTTACTAAAAAAGTAGGGTGAAAATCAGGGGCTAAATCCCTTCTCCTTTGCGTTCTCGCCCGAGGGTGTGTTTGCTGGGGTTTATCTCCTTCACAGGTTATGCACTATGAGCTAGGGGTGTGCTTCATACCAGTGGCAGATTAGCCACTGGGCCAACGGGAAACCTACCTATGGGCCCCAGCCAAATGGAGGGCTCAGGAAATGGATGCCCTTGCGTGCTGACCCACTCTGCCCGGCACTCCTGCCGGGGTCGGGGCATGGGGGCTTGCCCCACTCCGCTTGCCCACCTGGCACTCCTGCCAGGGATCGGGGTTGGGGCGCGGGGGCTTCTCCCACCTGCCCGACACTCCTGCCCCCATGCCCTGACTCTGCTCACCCTCAGCAGGAGCCCTGGATGAGCAGAGTGGGGCAAGCCCTCGTGCCCTGACCCTGCTCCCCCTAACATGAGCGCTGGGTGGGCGTGAGAAGCCCTTGCACCCCGATCCTGCTCCCCGGGAGGAGTGTCAGATGGGGACAGAGTGGACTGCAGGAGGAAGGGATGGGGAGAGCCCCCACTTGCTCTGACCCAGGGCCCCACAAAACTGTAATCCGCCTCTGACACATACCCAAGCTAGCATGAGTATAAGCTGCAATGTAGCTCAGTAGCACGGGTAGCAACAGCAGAGGCACAGCTGAGCCCTGTTGAGAACCAACCCACCTGAAATCAGAGGGTATGTACTCAGCATAGCTCAGCTGTGCCTCCACTGCTGCTACCCATCCTACTGAGCTACACTGCTGTTTATACTTGCATATGTTCAATGAGAGCTAACACGAATATATGTACACAAGCAGGGGAATCACACTCCTGGCTCACAGTGTAGATGGAGTGCTGTGTAACATTGCCCCTCCCCACCCTGCAGCATGTCCAGGCATGCAAAGAAGCCTGTGCCCCCTGTGCAGCCCTGTCTTAGGCTGCAGCCTAATGGAAATTGTGCCTGTCTGGCTTTCAGCCAAAGGCCCTCGCTGTGCCAGGGAACTGAGCTCAAATTTGAGGCAGCATCAGAATGGGAATTTTGCCTTCTGATCATCAAACATAAACCCTTGCTCTGCCTGTGAAAGGGGCTCTCTCTTCACCCCTCCCTGCTCCACAGGAGACTCCACATTAAAGCCTTGAGCTCTTCAGGAAGTCCGTGACCAGTACAGAGGCACTTGAGGATTCCACTACCCTTGGGGCTGCATTTTCATGGGATTACAGAGTGGTAAATGA